TGCCCAACACCAATTCAATTGGTAGTTCTCCAAGTACAGTGGCTAGCTCCCCTGTTGCGGTGCGTAGCTTCCAGCTTGACGGTTCAATTCTTGCCGGTGTTTTGGCAAAGGTTGGCACAAGAATGGTTCTCGTCACATCTGTACCTAGCAGCATGGTGCAAGGCTCGTTGTTGATGAGGCCGTCTACGAAAACCTTTGTCTTGTCGTTGGAGAACGGCAACATATGCGTTTTTTACGGGGGCTTGCTGGGTACAGGCAGACGATTGTCCCTTCTCATCGACCCCCTTTAGTTTTCCTGATTTGATGTCGATTCTTTGAAAGCTGGACATTTACTACGCACATGTCCAATTTTCCCACAGTTCCAGCATCTTATTTGTTTCCTCTCAGGCAACAGTTTTTTCATTACTTTTCTAATGGAGGCCTCAATATCTGCAGGCATTTGTTCATCTTCCCCGATAGCTCGAACTTTGCTCTGGCTCTTGCCAGTGCATCAACGAGATGTTTAGGATGAGCTATCGTCAAGGCCTGCCTCGTTTCTTGGTCGCGAAGTCCATCCAAGAATGCCTGAACTGCTAACCGCTCCATTACATTTTCGGGTGTAGCAGATGGTTCCTTTCTTCAAGGTCATGGGAAAGTAGGTGACATTCATGACCCCCGACACAACTTTATCAACACGCAACAGGGTCTTTCCAAGTGCGATTCCTCGTCCAATTTTCTCATCGTGTATCTTGGGCTCGAACATTACCACCTTGCCGCTGCTCGCACTTCCGTCCAAGCTAGTCTCCAGGATGGTTTCAACCCTTTCAAGTACGCACACGTCTTCAGCCAACAGGACCCTTATCGTCTCTTCGCTTCTTCCATGAAGCACCAGCGCTTCTCGGCTTCAAACTCCTGTAGGGATTCTCCTGATTTCTGGCAGCGGTTCTTCAGCTGTGAATGGTAAACGTGCTCTAGGTGGGCCTGTCCATACCGCAGCTCAAGATGCTTTATGAGTTGGTCATAGTCTTCCTGTTCTTGGGCCGTGAGGGTTTGCAGAATATTCGTTGCTTCTCCACGCAACGCCAATGTTAATACTACCGCCTTTTCTCCTGCATTCCATCCATTCGCTCTGGCCGCAGCTTCAAATTGTCGGCGATAATTTGCCCAAAGAGTTTTTCCGTCGAACTGGGGCAGCTTCATGGAGAGCTTTCCTGGTTCAGAGCTGAGTTTGACATCTTTCAGTTCCGGAATTGAGTTTTCAGTAACCGTTTCTGTGGGGTGAGCAGAATTAAGGATTTGGTTTTGCAACTTGCTAATTGTTTCCTTTATCTCGCTGATTTCTGCCTCAAATTCGCCTTTGATTTCATCGCCTAATTTTTCTTTCATTCTCTTGATTTCTGCCCCGATTTCATCTTTGATCTTTCCTTTGATTTCCTTTCTGATTTTGTCTATCTCTGTCTCGATAGTTCCCATCATTTCCTCGAGCAGACTCGTCACACAACAAAGTTCTTTCTTCAAGCCTTCGGCATTTTCTAGAAGTTCATCCTTCAAGCTATTAGAATTCTCTAGCAATTTACCTTCAATGAACTCATCTTTTAGACTCACCGAACTTTGTTGAAATTCATCTAGTTTGCTCATTATTGAACTCAAATCACCCCCAGAAACTTCGAATAAGTATGTTTCGGGATCTTCTCCTGATTCAATCAAGGTATCCCATAGTCTCTTCTGGAGTACTGATTTCTTTCCGGAAGAATCTAGCTCTCTCTCCTCCAATTCTTGCTTCAATTCGGCGACTTTCAAGTCCACTAGGCGCACTTTTCTTGAACACATTTTATCTCTTACTGTCTATTTTACTCAAAACTGCATGCATTCCCGATGAGTCATGCGTTTGCTCGCTGAGATATCGGTCAGGGCCGGCTTCAGATTCATTACAATATTCAAATATGAATCACCAGTCTATCTGCGCGAAGGTGCGAAAGTTTTTAATCAATTTCACTGTAATACAAAAGATTGTCCACCAAGCGTTCACAAATTTATTTTAAAAATCAACCTCTAATCACCAATTGTAACGAATTAAAGAATTAACTGTCTTAAACAAATTTATTTTTAAAAATATTTCACTATCACAACTAATTTATGTACAACACTTAGCAACTAACGCTTAATTTATCTTCACAGATTTCTTTCTTTAAACGCACGATTCACTTTCTAAGTACAGACTGCCTGGCCGACTAGAAGTGGCGCCTTTTTATATCGTCAACGAACGCTCCGTATCTCTCTAGGGATTTCGGCGCTGGCCTAGATTATTTGCGGAGGCTTATCGAGTGCATTCCCGATGAGTCATACGTTTGCTCGCTGAGATATCGGTCAGTGCCGGCTTCAGATTCATTATAATATTCAAATATTCTCACATAATATTCTATGATCCTTTATAGAACATCCTAGGAATATTCTCAGAATATTGATAAATATGAATGTGCACATAGAACGTACCTAGAATGTTCTGAGAATATTCAAATATTCTCGCGTAATATTCTATGGCACGTTATAGAAAATACCAGGAATATTCCCAGAATATTCAAAACAGTCCATTCCGAATGTTCATAGAATATGCCTATAATTTTCGTTTCATATTGTGAGAACATTCTGGGAATATTCAAATATTCTCGGCGTATATTCTATGGATATTCTATGAATGATATTGTGCTATATGGAATAGCTTTGCTAACCAAGTGAGCATCATCCGGTGATGATAACTGTGTGCTATGTTTCAGTTATCATTATCTCCTGATGATGCCAATTTGGTTACTGAAACCCGCGTCTAAAAATAATGTTATTTGTTCTGACATGGGAAAACTGTTTTCTCTAGTTTTATTTCACGCCAGAGGTTCCAATTCTACCTAACAAAATATTTTGGTGCGAATACAATATCTATCGGAATATAAGACTTCTGAGAATTTTTTCACCAGACTATCAATTTTTGTTATAGGTGAAGGAAGACACAAATATTCTTATCTGGTGTTTTGGACAATGAAAACCATTTTCATCGAATTTTTATTGCATGCACACCAAACAACAATTACATATCCAGTGAATGATTTCAGTATTTGTTGTTTGACATGAACATTAATATCAAATAGGTATTGATTTTTCTTTGAGCCAATGATTTTCCTTTCACCGACCTTAAATATTTCATATACGACAGTGGGTACTTCCATATATTATTCAGGTTTCATCAGAAAGCTTTTCACTTTTGATTGAAACTACAGGCTTCTTCAGGCGGGTCTATACTAACTTATTGAATACGAATATCTTATGGGGTTTCATAAAGTATCGGCCGATTCCGTCATATGAATCATCACGCTTGAATGAATATGACATCTACGTCACTGGGTATAAGAACGGCATCAGTTTTCAAATTTATATTCATGTGCACAAGACTATTTGAAGAAGATACACAATCTTGACAGTACCCAGTACCCAGTAAAATTCTAGTTTGATGTTTTTAGTACTTCTAACCTCTTATACAGTGTCATCCCCAAAGAATGTACCATATCGGAAACTTATTTATTAAGGGTTTTTCGACTAAATGTTATTCTTAATAAAAGTTTTTGCATCCCCTGAAACTGAACATGCATCAACAAAATACAGTAAAACACACATAATATACGAGGAGTATTCAAATATTTGATTTTGAGACAATACTGTATAATTTCGAGTAATTTTTGGTGTTAACAAAAAATAAAAATAACTGCACCAAAAACTTATTTTACTCTTCAAAAAAATTGACCGTGGTTAACACCATAGTTGTGTAATTTGTAATATTGCAGGCTTCCAAAATAAAACGTCGTATACAGGATGCTGTCTATTTATCGTTTTAGCAAATTTTTCTTTTCGTAGTCCCCATTTAAAAAAAATGGTTGAAAAAATAAAATTTCACTCAGATGGTCATGACTTTGAATCTAGATGTATTGTTCAATGCCAAACAACTTTTTTGAATAAAGTTTTCCGAAATTTTTCAAAATAAGAGTACTTTACTCTTGTCTCAAAATCAAATATTTGAAGGCTCCTCGTATATTACGTGTGTTTTACTGTATTTTGTTAACGCATATTTAGTTTTAAGGGATGCACAAACTTTTATCAAGAATAACTTTTTGTCTAAAACCCTTAATAAAGAAGTTTCCTAGTCGGTGCATACTTTGGGGATGACCCTGTAGATGACGTAGAACCATTTTATCTTGCATAAAAATAATTTAACCTGGTAGTAACTGATTATAATTATAAATACAGGGAAAGACTTATACTTTTCTGTTATCTAAGAAATGATGAATTTTACTAGTTCGGACTTCCATTGTCTAATATATAAAATGATTTGAAATCCCTGAAACAACTAAAAGAAAAGAATTAAAAATGAATAGCTGAAAATAACAATTATATTGAGCAACAATAAACTGAAATGAAACGATAATGAAATAAAATTACAAGTAAAAATAGAACTCCAAAGTCTTTTCTACCATCGCTTTGGAATAGCCATTCCGTTGAAGATCTTTTTTAATAATGTCTAGTTCCTTCTCGAGACTTTCCTTCGTATTACAGATCCCGAAAGCACGATCTAATAGAGTCTTGATGATTCCTCTTTAAGTCGATTGATGGTGGTTAGATTCGTGGTTCAGATACTTTCCCGTGTGAGTGGGTTTTCGGTTTTCGCTAAAAGACAGCAGGAGCCTCGCAAGGAAGAGATGCCGTGACAACCAGTGCTTGCTCTTCCCTACATCAGGATTATCAGAGAGGATAAGAAGAATTGGTTCCAAGTACAACATCAAAATCAAAACCTGCTTCAGATCCGATAACACTATCCGTAGCAGCCTCACGAAAACCAGGCCACCAAACGCGGACTAGGATTTCAAATCATTTTATATACTAGAAAATGGAAGTCCGAACTAGTAAAATTTATCATGAAACATTGCTAATCACCTTCAAACAAACATCTAAGAAATGAGCTGATAAATAAATATACTTACCTGAGATGTCCAGTTACGAACACATCCTCTGAAACCCATTTCAAGCATGAGAATGGGCAAAGTTTTATTTCCTACACCAGCTTCAATAGTTACTATGACTGACGGAAACGAAATTATACAAACTTCTTGTAGTGGAATATTATTTCTGAAGGATCTATCAGAATTGGACATGACTTGTAGAACATCGCCTCCATATTCTGAAAATGTTATAAAGACTTAATATTCATCACCAGTATGAATTAAATATTTAATACATGGAAGTTGACAAAAAGTATATTTTAGAAAAAATAAGTTTCAGCAGTTTAGATTCTTCTAGCTTCGAGTAGAAAGAAGTTCAAGTTTAAAAGCAAAAGTGATAATATCAACTCCCGATGACACTAACTTAGCTAATCGCGTTCGAGAAAGAGTGTTCAAGTTTTGGTGTGGGAAGTGTTTTTTCAGGCAAACTAACCAGCTATCTTTATTATCATGATTTTAAATATTTTCCCAATCATCAAGGATGAATAAAGGAATCATATTTTAATCGTGGGTACATTCCGAAGTCGATACGAATCTTTTCTCAAAATAACTACTGGGAACATAATTCTGCGTTGAATCAATACCTGTAAAGTCACTGTTCAGTCTGCTTGTTTATCTATTGATAATTTAGGGTGGTAAAATAAAACACACTATCTCAGTACTACACCGTTCGGTTGTCGGCTACCAACTGTCCGCCGGCTGATTTTTATTTTATTTGTTTATTTAACTTTGGAATCTCTCTCATTATTTTCACTTCTTCATACCGGATATAGTAATCAACCATAACGAATAAAAAATCTCCCAACGGAAGCGGACCTAGAAAGTCTGTAGCCACTGATACCCACGGTTGTGTCGGCAACTCGCGACGTTTCATGGGGCTTGGTGGATTTGGGCCAGAAACCAGTGTACACCCCCTTACAGGCTTTCACCATTTTTTCAGCATCATAATCTATTTTTGCCCACCATACTTTAGTTCGTAATCGATGTTTCATCGCAACTATTCCTGGATGACCTTCATGGGCTGCTTTTAAAATTTCTGATCTCAGTTGATTTGGTATGACTATTTTATCACCTCGTAGTAAAATTCCTTCATAAAAACAAAGTTCTGTTTGAAAAACTTTGAAGTTATTCACTGAAGGATCCCAGTTATCTCTGAAAATTCCTTCTCTTACCTTAGTTATTTCCTCATCTGATTTAGAATATACTTTAATGGCACTCATGGAAACAGCATTTGGTTTGGCATAATTGATGATTTGATAAACAAAGTTTTCATCGAACAGTTTTGAATCGGGTTTTGGTAATCGAGACAAGGAATCGGCAATGTTGAATTTGCCGGGACGATAAATTACTTTGTAATTATAGCATTGTAGTCTCAGCACCCATCTTTCTATTCGAGCACAAGGCCTGGATTTCAGTCCGAATATAGTTTCTAACGGTTTGTGGTCCGTAACCAATTCAAAGACGTCTTTATCATAAAGAAACATGTGAAAATGTTCCACTGCCCAAACCAATGCTAAAGCTTCCTTTTCGGTTTGACAGTACCTTCTTTCGCAATCAGTTAAACTTGTATTTCCAAAAGTGATGACTTGAGGTCCGCATTCATTGAATTGGCCTAGGAAACTCTGTATTCCTTCGATACTCTTAGGAGTGCGAAATTTTTGTATAACTCCGAGGTAACTAGGTGACGGTTGAATACCAATTGGTGATAGCCTATGCCCCAAAAATTCAACGCTTGAGAGTTTGAACATGCATTTGTTTTCATTTAATGAGATATTGTGGGTTTCTAATGTTTTTAAAACTCTGCTGAGCCTATCATCACGCTCTTCCATACTGGATCCGAAAACTAAAATATCATCTATGAAATTAGTAACACCCTCACATATAGAAAGAAGTCGTTCTAATAACTTTTAAAAAATTTCAGGGGCGCAGGATATACCAAACATAAGTCGTTTATATCTCAGTAATCCTTTATTACTAATGAAAGTAGTAATGTAACGGGAAGACGATGATATTTCGACCTGATGAAAGGCGTTTTTAATATCTAACCTTGAAAATATCCTTGCATTCCCAAATTTAGGCAATAATTGGTCAATGGTGGGAAGAGGATGATTTTCACGTATTATGGCAGTATTAGCTCTCCGCATATCAACACATATTCTTACCTCACCATTTTCTTTCAATAAGGGTACTATGGGTGACACCCATCTAGATGGTCCAATTACTTCCTCAATAATATCTTCTCTTAGTAGTTCTTTTAGTTTCTCACTTATTTTCTCCTCTAGAGGAATAGGGACTCTTCTATAAGGTTGGCATACTGGTTTCACATATTCATCTATTGGGATATCCACCAAAACATCTTTGAACTTTGGGAATGGAGTTGATTTGACATTTATCGAATTGATACCAATTTTCAGTACTCCCAAAGACAAAGTAGTTAATTTTCTCAACAGATTTCTGTTTCCCCCTTCTATGACGTAAAAAATAGCCATGGTTGGGTTATTTGCTATTGTAATCGTTGCTTCAAGAGATCCGACGACATTCAGTGGTTTCTTACTTGCGTATGCTAGGAAGATTTTATTGGGTCTCTTGATATGGTTGAATACTTTTATTTTCTTTTCTTTCAACTCTTGCCATGTTTCTGAAGTTAATAGGTTATTTTTACTACCGGAATATATGAGGAGATCTATATCGATTCCACCGATCTGACATTTGATGGTCTCCTCTGCATCATTGTCTATATGAAAAACGTAGTCTGGGTCTTCATTAACTCGCTCCTCGATGATATGAACGTTTGAAGTATTCATTTTCTTTGAACACTTTTGATGTATTTGTGACATTGTCTTTTCACGTTTCAGCAATGACGTTCTGCACTGGAACCTAAAATGCCCTTTGAAGCCACACCTGTTGCACTCCGAGCTCAGGGCTGGGCAATTTGAATAGCTTGAGCTGTGCCCTAGTCTGCCACATCGTGTGCATTCGCGGGTATTTTCTCTGGTCTGAGAGCTTGGCGCCAGCCTCCAAGGAATTGGCCTCGTTTACTATTTGTTCCAAAGTTATAGCGTCACCGACAATTTTTTTCCTTAATTCGGTACTGCTCCCCTTTTCTACAATTTGGTCAATGAGATTTTCCTCTGGATTGACGAATTGACGTTTTTCTGCCTGGTATCACCGGTCTCCTGCTTCATGAGTCTAAATATATGTCTTTCGAAAACCTTACTTTGTTTTGGGGCGAAATATTCGTCCAGTTTTGTTATGGCTATTCTAAATACGTCTACATTTGTATCATCCACATGTGCACCTGGTATATTATAATATATTTCTTGCAGGCCAAATCCCCCCATATGTAGAAGCACTGCTCGCTTTTTTGTTAGATTTTCAATATTTGCTGCCTCCAGATATATATTCAAGACCCTTTTCCATTTCTCCCAACGTTGTGCTACTGAGGAAGCATCACCCTCACAATCAAAATTATCCAATTATCAATTGGATAGATTATCCTCGTCGCCACTGTTAAGTCATTGTTCAGTCTGCTTGTTTATCTATTGATAATTTAGGGTGGTAAAATAAAACACACTATCTCAGTACTACACCGTTCGGTTGTCGGCTATCAGCTGTCCGCCGGTCGGTTTTTATTTTATTTGTTTATTCATCGTTATACAACAAAACTCGCTATCAATGTAGACGCTACAATACCTAAACAGGAAGTTCGGTCCTGACTGCGACATGCTCAACAGCTAGTACGTTCTTGTCCGAGTATTTCTGATTTGATAGTAACCTATATGTGTGTGATATAATCATAGAAGCCAACTGCCTAATAATTTAGTGAGTACAAAATCATCTTCAAAACTCTATAAATAGCGGAAATCAGCTATACAAAACAAGGCTTTGAATCCTTATCTCCAAAAAACCTTGTCGATCATTCTTCTTTTTCAAGACAGAGCCGGCATCAGGGCAGATGCTTTTATTTTGGGAACAAGATGATCGATGATACGATGGGTGTTTTGTCCACCCACGAACTTCCACCTAACAACCCCCTCCAACTAGCATGAATTCCAATGTTCATTCATACTCATCGGAAGTAAGTAAACCATCACCTATTAATTTCCCTACGAAGGACCAAGCTATCGTCTTCAATGCCATTGATAATATCAAACTACAAGAATACCTTCTTCAGTTAGGACCTATCGTTCATCCAAAAAATATCATCTTCTCATCTAGAATTTACAACAATAAAATTTGCATTTACCTGTCTAGCAAAAACATAGTCGATAGATTTATCAAGGAACACGAATGTATCAACATAAGCGGAGAGATTATTAGAGCCCGTAGAATAATATCTCCTTCAGACCGATTGGTCCTACAATTCCACATGATATTCTCATTGCTGAACTTAAGAAAATAGGTTTGACTCTAATATTACCGGTAACACTTTTAAGGATCGGAGCAACGGACCCAGAACATGGTCACATTTTTAGCTTCAGGCGACAAGTGTATATTACACCACCAGAACATTATGAAATCCCAGAATCAATCGAAATTTTTCACGATGAAATTTTTTATCGTGTTTTTCTTTCCCGTGATAGCCAGATTTGCTTCAAATGTAAACTTTCCGGTCATATTGCCTCCAAATGTCCTACCCAGATTCCCACTGTATCGCTCAATATCCCCGCCACACAAAATTCCACATATAGTGATCTCAATTCATCCAACAACCCAAAGCAAACAGATTTTACTGAACAAATTCAAGTTACTGGAGGCACAGTTGAACCCACCCACAAACTGGGAAACGTGGCGTTGAAGGAATTCTAACACCTACGTCAGAAGACCAAAAGTTCATTACTCCCAAAATAACTGTCAAGAAACCTAAAAACGACAAAACAAATTATTTAATCAAACCAGAAATGATGCAGTCCATAAAAGAATATATGGAACAACAAGAAAAAACTTTTACCATCGACTCAGAACAACTAAAAGATTTATTCGAAAATGCACACGGATCAAAAGATGTGTTGAGCATTGCCACGGATTATACGGACCACCCTCAAGCATTGGTTGACATGTTACTGGAAATACATTCACATATCGAAAATAGAAACTTAAAAGGTCAATGCACTAAACTGAGAAAAAACTACAAAAACAGATAGAATCGGATAGATATGAGCCACAGAGTGACTCA